TATATATATATATATATATATATAGATATATATATATATATATATTAGCTGCAGTGAATTGGCCATGTGCCAACATATTTGATAATATAGACATTTAATAATTTATTACATGTCATCACCTTCGTGGGGGGTGAGGGTTCTGTTAGTGTAGAGGGGTGCTCAAAGTAGTCCACAGTGATCGGTGCTCTCACCTGCAGTCTGTCTTCAAGTTGGGAACGCCGCTCTGGGCTCATCGTGGACCAGACAGCACGACCCACCCTGCTCTGATCGGGTCAAACTGTGGCTCTGGTTTTCTTTAATGGTTAAAAGCCATGTCGGTTTAATCCTGCATCATTGTTAGACTGGATGGCTTTAAAAAGACCACAACATACACATTCTTCACCCCCGTTTCATTTTTACAGATGACGAAATCCGTCCCAGCGACACAGAACTTTAATCCATGACCCTAGTGGACAAAAAACAGCTTCATCATAAAACAATCAAAGTTTTGGAGCGGCCTGGCCGGATTCAAGGCCTGAATTTTGATAGAGCATTTGTAGGGTGAAATACTGTCCATTGTAACAGATATAAAAGGTGACTCATCAGATTATTAGTTAATCTGTGTACACACTTAGTCCACCAGCTGTTTGAAGCTTTGTAACCCCCAGGAAGCACGTTAAAAGTGAGGATAATTAAAATATATATTTTACATCACAAAACCCTGAAATTTAACCAACACTGTGAACACTTATACATCCAATGTGCCACGTTTTGGTGATGGAAACAACCGCTGCACGTTAGCACACTTTACTGATACTGAACAAACGTCATTGTGAGCTGTGCACATATTTCTCCTCTTCCTTGCATGTCTGCACCCTTGTTTCACCCTCCTCCTCCTCCAACCTGCCTCGTTTCCTTCCCACTCTGCCTTTTCCACTAAATAAGACACTTTTTGTTTGTTCCCTTTACCCTCCTGTCTCTTCTCTCTCTGCACACACAGTGGACAGGACTAGCAAACAAGATAGGCCTGGTAGGTGGTTTGAAAACAGCCACACGAACAAATAAAAATGTCTAAACAGTACGATGATTTCTTGGAAGAGCATGCGAGACCATTCTCCTTCATCCACTTGTGTCTCCATAATCCCTTCATACATCAGTGATAAGCCCTAACTCTTTGACTCTGGTCCATTTTCAGTTACACCATGAATGACCATTTTACAGCTTGGCAGGCTGTTTCATCCTTATTACGAGCTCATATTGTGCATTCATCCATCCAACTCGTTACCTTTCATCTTAAAAGATCCTCTGAAAAGAAACCGTCTCCTGCTTCATTTTACAATCTTATCAGCACCTAATTCACCGTGTGTGTGTTTGTGTGTGTGTGAGGCGGCAGAGGCGCTGCTGTGGATTAAAGGAAGAATAAAACTTTAGAGGGACTGTAAAAAGATTATTAGCATGTGGAGAAAAAAATGGGGGCTTTTGTCGATAGTAGATTAATTATGTTCTACTGAATTTGCATTTCATTTCAGTCTTTTTTGTATGATTTTTTCACTTCACGTGAGTTTTATTTTTCCTAAAAGACACTTTTCTCTTGTGAGCTGGAAAAGTGCAATTATCGTTACTTTGTCCACTGCTGGTGCAAATTTGTCCAAACGTGTTTTATTTAGATGCTCAACAAAGATTCTGTTTGTTTTCTTACATAAACCTGCTCTTGTCGTTCCAGTAATTTTCACAGTTCCTCGCTTGATGTTCAGCAAACACAGTTCCAAAAACTGCTTTACATTTACGATGAGCATTTAGTGACTAAAGACGGTTTCAAAGGTTTTAAATGCGCTAGTCAAAATTTTAATACTTCAATAATAATCCATGTAATACCATCAAATCAGACATTTATGTCTACGTTTATTACATTTAAAACTTTAGCTCATAAACTGCTAAAAAGGCTGTCATACATGAAACATGGATGCATGCCAGCGTTTGAAAAATGCACATAAGTTAAAGTGTAAGTTTGAAATCATCAGCACACTGATGCAGGCCAAAAGGTTTGTGCATGCAAAAAGTTCTAGCGTAGGCTAACGTGTTGTTGATAATGACAGGTATAATATTCTAAATTATAATTATAATTAGTTCATTAAGCTTCAGGACTTTTTTAAACCATTCTGGCCGTGTTGTCGGTGAACAGTAAGCGGCCATCAGGCCTCTAACTACTGACTGTTATGCACTGATGATCGATTGTTAGACTGATAGTCCTGATGATCGATTGTTAGACTGATGGTCCTGATGATCGATTGTTAGACTGATGGTCCTGATGATCGATTGTTAGACTGATGGTCCTGATGATCGACTGTTAGACTGATGGTCTCTTTTTACCTGTGAAACTCTAATTTCTGGCACTCCACAGCAGACTGGCTTGAACCATTTTGGAAAGGTGCTATTTATAAAACAGAGTTTGTTGGCAGGCCTCAGACTGATGAAGTCTTTTGGATGAAAGACGAAACGTTTCAACCAAGAAAAATCTGTCCAGACGACTCGATTTAACTTTTTTTGCAAATTCATTAAACTAAAAAGAAAGATACAGACCAATACACTGATAATAATCTGGATTTTTTGTCTGACATCATTGCTCAAGTCAAATTTTTTGAGAAAAAAAAATAATCTCATTTTAACTGAAAAAGTTTCCCTGTTTGTTTTTTCCTCTGTAGCTTCCGACTCATAATTCAAACAGTATATTGCGAAAATCAAGGCACAATTAGTTTTTATTGTAATCCATAATTTGGACTGAGAACACAAAAATCCCCCAGGAATAAAAAGACAGTAATCAATACACCAGTCTTCTTTTTAACATTCAGCCATCCCCTGAATTTTTTCTCCACATTAGACCGGACTCCAGATTAATCTGTGACTCTTGAACAGAAAGGTCAGCCACATCTCAGTCCTTTTTGTGAAATGCCAAAGACTTTTTAAACCACTTGAGGACCTTTCTTTCTCTGCAGGGCCACCAAAAGTCAAGCAAGAAGGCCAGTGCAGGGGACGGAAAAGGCACCCTGACTAGGATCTTCAAAATGGTAAAAAAAAATAATCTTTTACCACTTCGTGTCAAATTTCAGGTTATTTACTTGTGCTCTTTTCATGCTGCTTCTCTTCCCTGTATATCAATACTAACAGAAAATGGATGTGTTGTCCAATCCCGTTCTTGCCCCTGTTTTTCTGTATTCTTCTCTGCCTCAGTGATGAGCTCAGCGGCAGCAGAGTGAGTAAATGTGATGGAGGGATACCTGACTTTACCTCGCTGTGCATTTGTTCCAACACTCATGTGCTCGGGAGACTTTGTAATGTCACTGCTACGGCAGAATAATGAAGGGCTTTTAGACACGAGATTGATCATCATGCACGCTGCAGCTTCGCGGCTCTTATAACCATGCTGAAGATCCAGTTCTGATGAGGTCCCAGTGAGGCCGCGGCTAACACTACCTGCTTTAGTGAGAGCCAGCAGCTGATGCATTCTTTATCTGTATGTATAATTAACGTTATCATGTAGGACCCTCAATTAAAGCCCAAACAGACTCCATCAGGTGCTTTGAAGGACTCACACAAGCATGCAGTAAGCCTGAAAGTTGTATTGCTCATTTATAAATCATTCATTTCTCACCTTTTTTTTCAGCCGCTTTTTTGACTGATTCACAGAGAATATATGATTTTTATTTTATTTTTTTACATGGCCGTCTTTGTCCAGTTTCAGGCCACTTTAATATACATGTTTCCAAAACAAATCCTGCTGCAGACTGATAGATTGGTCCTCAGTGGGATTTTAGCCAAGCTCCATCTTCCATCTTAAATTTAATTTTCAGGGTGTGACCAAGAGCTATGGTTTTGTTTCCAAATGACGTTAAGAGTGTTGGCCTCAGGCATCATCAGGATTAAAGTCTGGACACCCGTTTTGCCGTCTTCAGATAACTGGATGTCCAAAACAGACCATGACATCAGAATTTTTCCTGCAAACATTCTTCTTAGACTTAATTTTATATGAAGCCGGAGAATCTGACTGAGGCATTGTTAAAAATGAACATTACACTAAAGTAAACCCATTAATAAAACAAGAAAACATGCTTTAGATGCTGTTTTATCAACTTTACAATAACTTGCATCTACTAACAGTTAACTTGGTCCACTCAAACCAGACTAGGTCAGATTTATTTAGACACTTTCATTAAAGAAATACAAATCTCACAGGAGTCACTGAAATTTATTGAAATCAACAAAAATACTAAAACTCAATAATGAAAATGAGTCATTGCGTTTGGAAATACGGTTCAACAGAATTATTTTACTCTGATGAAGCTGGCCTTGATGTAAAGGTTAGTACCGCTAGAAAAGAAAAGTTTATCAGGAAACACTAACGTGAGGTGTGTCCTGTAATGAGCATCACAGGTGTCTTCATTCAGTCTGGAATCAGTCAGTCTGCATAATTAAAAGGAGAGAGGTAGTCACAGGGCTGTTTGGTATCATGGTGTGTACCACACTAAACATGGACCACAGAAAGATAAAGACCGTTGTCTCTGGAGCTTAGAAAGAAATGACTGAGCAGCATGCTCATGTTAAAGGCTGTAAGATCCAAGCAGCTTGATGTTCCTCTGACTTCAGCTGCGCAGATTATTCAGAAGGCTCAGAGGACTGGAGACAACCTTCCTGGATGTGTCCACAAGAGGAAAGCTGATGCTACAATTGAAGAGATGTATATGAACAGTAACCAGAGAGTCCAGAACAACTTCCAAAGAGATTAGATTAGATTAGAGGTTTGCATCAGTGACTGTTGGAGACAAAGTGGACTTAATGGAGGACGACCATAAAACAGGACTGGAATTTGCCAAAATACATATTGAGCATGCATCAGGATGCTTCTTGAACGATGTCCTTTGGACAGATGAGCTAAACTTGGAGCTTTTTGGCAACAACTACCACCAGATGGATGTTCTCAGACCCAAGAACGAAACAAAGAAAAGAACACAGTATCCACAGTGAACGTCTCGGTTCATTTCTGGGCCTGTTTTGCTGCAACTTGCACATGGTGCCAAGAATCAGTGCAGGGTGCAACAGAATCTTAAGACTGTAATGAAATATATGTAATGATCCAAAACACACAGCTATAAACACCCAAGAATGGCTCAGAAAAAAACAGACTGTTCTGAAATAATAATAATAACAATAACAATAATAATAATAATAATAATAATAATAATAATGATAATAATAATGTGTTGTGTTGTCATCATTGTATGTTTCCATACAATGGCAAAATTGGCTCATTGCATTTAACCCATCCACTGCCGGGTGGTGCGGTGGGTGGCTATTGGGGGCGCCTGGGGAGCATTTGGGGATAGGGTGTGCTGCTCTGAGACACCACAAGATGTGCAATGACTGGGGATCGAACCTGGAACTTTTGGGTCCCGAGTCAGCTGCCCTGCCTCTACACCATCTCAGCACCCAAAGTGGCCTCCCAAGCCCTGATCTAAAGCCTGTTGAACATCTGAGGAAGCTGAAACATCAGTCTGGACAAGGAATCATGTGGTTCTGTATGTTTCAGTTATTTCAGTGGATTTTTTTTCTTAAATAGTACGAACAAATTTGACCACATTTGATTGTGTTGAGAAAAAATAAAATCCATTTTTGATCTGGAAGGCTCCAGATGTCTGAATACATTTACAGTTTTATAATTCAACGGACATACATGACTGACTCAAGTCACAGTGACACTGTTGTAGGAATAGTTATGATCTTTGGAAGTGGGCTTATGTGGAAAGGTTATGGACTATTAATATCTTACCTGTTGTAGATAGCTCTTTGAACATCCAGAGTTTGGAGAAATGAAAATTGGACTGGACTGATGAGTTCACGGCTCTGCATTCAAGACTAAAGTCAAGTAGTTAGGATGGTTGGTTGTTTGGATGAGTTGTTATTTGGATTATTGGCTGGGTGGTTTATGGTTTGTTGGTTGGGTGATTTTTTTGGTTTAATTTCATTAACGTAAAATATAATGAGGGAACAAAGCATAGAGACCAAATCTTGGTGCTACTGCAAAAAAAGAAAAAGCCTATATACATATATGTATGAATAAAAAGTAGTACTACAGAACTTTCATACAAGTGCTAACAAAAGCAAATGTAAAATTAAAAACATGCATACAAATGTAAAGGTATCCGCTAAAAACTAGATGTTGCTGAGAACCATTTAGATTTTATTTTTCTTTCAGCTGCTCCTTTCTTCAGGGTCACCACAGTAAACTAAGTCGCACGAAGACTTGGTGAATGTTTTTACACTGGATGTCCGACACAACCACAGAGCTACCACAGCCCTCTGTGTGGAGCAGAGAGCTGACATCTGGGCGCCGGGGGAGTAGATGGTGGGGGTTATGGGCCTTGCTCAAGGGCTCCAATTAGGGTAAATGAGGGTGGTGGCAGGTGTAAGTGTTTCACCTTTCCCACCCCCATTTTGATGTCTGGGTCTGGGGAGTTGAACCGGCGACCTTCCGATCACAGGCCCACCTTCTCTAACCTCTGCACCACCTCTCCCCTGAAAACCATTAAGGTTATTTTCCACAATTTATTGAAGTTTTACTGGGAATTTTACACCATAAAAGCACAGATGGAAAGTTCTGGCTCTGCTCTGAAAACTTCAGGGTACTTTTATTAGCATCATTAGCGTTAGCATCACTTTTTATTAGCATCATTAGCATTAGCGTCACTTTTTATTAGCATCATTAACATTAGCATCACTTTTTATTAGCATAATTAGCGTTAGCATCACTTTTTATTAGCATCATTAGCATTAGCGTCACTTTTTATTAGCATCATTAGCATTAGCATCACTTTTTATTAGCATCATTAGCGTTAGCATCACTTTTTATTAGCATCATTAGCATTAGCGTCACTTTTTATTAGCATAATTAGCATTAGCATCACTTTTTATTAGCATAATTAACATTAGCATCACTTTTTATTAGCATAATTAGCGTTAGCATCACTTTTTATTAGCATCATTAGCATTAGCATCACTTTTTATGAGCATCATTAGCGTTAGCATCACTTTTTATTAGCATTATTAGCATTAGCATCACTTTTTATTAGCATCATTAGCATTAGCATCAGTCTGCTATAATCATGACTGCTTGACCAACCTCCTTTCTTATAATTTGCCACATAAAGGAGGGACAGCCTTTATGCTGTAATAGTTTATAGTATAATTTTTATTTTTAGATTTTATTGCTACACTGACAGCACCATAAATTATTACCTGAGAGGAGAGACACCTGAATTTCCCAGAGGTTTCTTCTTTAATGTAGTGACTAATTTGTCACTAAGCTACGAGAGCACAGACAAACTTGTGGCACGTTCAGAGCCTCTCTGATTTGGCTAATTGGAGCAGTCTCTTGGGTATTTTATCACTTTTGTTCCGCCACTTATAAACAATACAACAAACCTAATGGAAATTAGCATACACCCCAGACAGCTCACAACTATTGTTTCACTCTTACTTTCTGCTCACTCCTGCAACAGATTAAATCTACAGACCACAGCTTGATGAGAATAAAAGCTCGGACCTCAGCTCTCGCTCTGCGATGAGAAGCAACAAGCTTTCCACGATAAGGATTGTTTGTTTTTAAACGATCCATAAAAAAATTGTCTAATCTGTATAATCTTCAGACTCTTTTCAGAGCCGAGTGGAAGCGTGGGAATGAAATAACGTCCACAAAATCTTATTAGTGATAAAAGAGAGGGGAAGAAAATAAAACCTTTAAGGACATAGAATAAAGTGAAAACCTGAAAAGCTTTCATAAACTCATTAAGTGATTGAAAGACATTAAAGTATTTGTGCTCAATTTTAACCAGCGTAGCCATACAACTTTTTTAAGCCTTAAAGTCCAAAAAACATAACACTTAGACATAATTATTGAGTAACTTGAAAAAAGTTAAATAATTATAATTAGATCTGTTCATTTATTTATTTTACTGAGACTATGGACTTCATCATAAATCGGATCCTTTCTTGTTTTAAATTACCGTATTTCACCTTCATTACCGTCTCTTATTGTCACACAAAGTTGGACTTGTTATTTTGTTTCTCAGAACTTTACATTGTTCAACATAGATTTAGGGTGGATGAAACGGTGTGAGAACGTAAGTCCCAAGGTGGGAAAAAATAAAACGTTTTCAGAATTTTTACTTTTTTTCTCATATTTCTCAGATTAAAACACATTGATAGAGTGTTGTGTGAGGTAACATAAGGTTATTGTATAAACACTTTCCTAAGTTGATATTTACTTTTACTTCATAAAAATTCATCTCAAAATAACCACTTTATTTTTGCAATTTCAAATTTATTTCCAAGATAAAATATTTAGGCTGTCATCTTTTAATATATTACAACTTTATTAGGAATTTCATAACTTTAATCTCTAAATATAAAATTAAAACTCTTGACTTTAATTTTCCTCGTGATACTGATACTTCTTTATATTGTTCTCATTTTATCATCTGTTACGATTTACATTTTTGCACACATTTTGCACAGAGCTGCCTTTTATCTGCATGTTTGCTTTGTTTTAATACATAAAATCTGGATAATGCTATTCAACAGAGGTCAAATGTGGCTCACTGACGCTTTGTTAAGCAAAAGTCGTCCCGATGCCACTCATTTCTGTTTCCAGTCTAAACAAACAGCTAATCTTCTTAATGAATTCATTCATGATTTGAAGGTTTTGCTGGAGACAATAATCACTTCTGTTGTGGTAATCCTGCAGACAGCTGGCATGAACAAGAGTTTGATTTATGCAACAAATTATGTAAATGTATACAAGGGATGTTTTTGGACAAAGGGTTCATCTCCCCTGAGATAAAAATAAAACCAGAAATGACTATAATGATAGTTTCTGCTCCTATATTAAGTTGATACATTGAACAGTTTTTTAATTATATTAAACAGCTTACAGTATAATTTATGTAGGCAATTTACTGAATTAAATTATGTCATAAAAAATTATAAAACAAGCAGTGCCCTGGTATTTTTAATGATTTAATAATAAATCACTTTTACCGTTTTTACTGGGTTCAAGAAAGATTATTACTCTGCTCATGATTGTACTGAAGTACGTGTCTGGTCAAAAACAAGAGTTCTGTTATTTTATAAAGACCCTATTTTATTATTTTTGAACCACCTCGTTATTTTTAAAGGTTCCTTAATGAAACTTATTTTATTGTAAAAAATAAATAAATAAAACGCACTGCCGGCTCAGTAAAAGTAAAAAATTAAACGAGCAAAGACTTGGAAAGTCTTAGTTCAAGTCATAGGAAAACTATTTAAATTTAAATAAATTTTAAAATAAACAGCTTGGATGTAGTCCACCAAAAACTCTGGCCTGGAAATGGTTCAAGGAAAATGTGAAGAAATCCATTTGACCGTCCTAAGGGGGGAAATTTAATTTTTTCTAAGACTGCCAGAAAAATAAATTGTCGAATTAAAAAAAATAATTGGAGAGTTTGAAAAAGGCCCTAAGGGTGCTAAAATAATCGGGACATTAATTTTCACCAAAAATAAAGGACAATCTGAGGGTTAATACGTTTGACCCAATCAGTTGTAATTTTTTCAACGAGTTTTCACAACAAAGTATATTTTATTCTTCCTCTGGATTACTAAAGTCCTGAAATGTGCACACAATATTACTGCCATGCTACTTCTAACACTAACACCGGCTCCCACTTTGCACTGTTCAGACCAGCTTCATCCTCATCATACAGATGAAGAGCAGCTAAAACCTGAGAACCTGAGACTGATGGAAGAAATAATAAAACACCATAAATTGTTTTTGTTTCTACTAAATAGGAAGTGACAACATATCCAGATGGTGTTTCTTTCATATTGTGCATTAATAAAAAGAAATGGTCCCCAGCAAGACCAAAGGCTAGCTCGTGTGGTTCCCAAAGCAGACACCCTCCTCTCCACAAATTTGTCTTGAGATTCTGTCCATGAACAAAACAAACAGGATATGAGATGAGAACAGTTTGTGGCTGAGTGTGAAGCTGCTGCGATGAGAGTCTAAGTTTGAAGCCATGGTTCTCCACCAGAAAAGGGTAGATGTACCCTCAGGGTTGGGGATAAGTCTCTGCCTCAAATGGAAGAGTTCAATCATCTGGGAGTATTGTTCACAAGTGAGGGCAGGAGATGGACCTCCAACTCCAAATGCAGTAATGAGGTCTTCGTTCTGTTATGACGTAGGAGCCGAATTAAAAGATAAAGCTCTTAATTTACTGGTTCATTTACATTCCAACCCTCACCTGTGGCCATGGCATACAGTTCACAACCAAAATAACAAGCAAGTAAGGTTACCCTGTAGGGTGGTCAAGCTCAGCCTTAGAGATAAGTTGAGAAACCTGATCATCTGCAGGGAGCTGAGAGGAGAGCAGATGAAGGTATGTCCTGACAACCCTCGAAAAAGAGATCTGGTATCTTAATGGGATTTGTCAGCTTAAATAAAGGTTCAGGAGTGAGCTGAGGTGGTTTCAGGATCCCTCTGGAGACTTTCTGGGCAGATTCCACAAGGTTGAAACCACAGGGCATACCCAGAATTTAATGATTAGAAGTTATATTCTCTCTGGCCTAGAAACACCTAAGGATTCCCCGGGAAGGACTATAGAATCAACTATCTCCATCTCGATCTTTTGCAGCTTGTACATAATTGGGTCAGACAGGCAACTTGCCTCTCTAACACAGTCACAATCTCATAGTCCTTCCTTTCCAACTCCTTCAGGGGGACCCCGTGACATTCCAAGGCCAGAGACGATACACAATCCCTCCAGAATGTTCTGGGTCTGCCTCTTACCAGTGGGGCATGCCCAGAAAACATCCAACAGGAGAAGTCCAGGAGGCATTCTAATCAGATGCCCGAACTGCCTCAACTTACTCCTTTCAATGTCAAGGAGCAGCAGTTTTACTGAGCTCCTCCGGATGATGGAGCTTGTCACCTTATTGCTAAGGCTGAGCAAGGACACCCTACAGAGGAAGTTCATTTCAACCGCTTGTATCTGGAATCTTGTTGTTTTGGTCATGGTTAAAATCTCATGACCACAGGTGAGGGTTGGAACAAAGACAGTCCAGGAAACTGAGTCTTGCCTTTCGACTTAACTTTTTTGCAACAACCTATCGACAAAAGCAGTGCCCTCATTACCATGGACGAGACCCCAATCAGCTGATCCATCTCCCACTCAATCCTCTCATCACTCGTGAACAAGACGCCAAGGTATTTAAACTCTCCCATGAGGCAACGAGTCCCTCCACCCCCCTTACCACCTGGAGAGGGGAGGACTGTCAAGGTCTATGAGGAGCACCGCCAAGGTTGGGTGCGATGTAAGCCAGACAGCAAGCACGAGAGGGTCCCTGCCACGCCGATTCCTGGTGACAAACTAGCTCTAGGGACATGGGTGGAAGACGATGGATGGATGTTAGTGACATATACCTAAAACATTTTCCTCTTAGAAAAAGTGCTGTCAAACCTTCAGTGGAATCCGACTATAGATCCACTTATCTGTCACATTTTGAGTGACATGAACCAGCCTAAAAAATCTAACCCATTTGCTCCTGAAACAGCTGCTTTCTGGGCTCATTCTCATGTTTTGTCTGTTTCACAGGGTAGCAGGAGTGCTTCGCCAGCCAAACGCTGAAGTCCCCCCTCTACAACCCCTTCCAACATCCAGAGGGGATTTGCTCAAGAGCTCATGGGGGCGAACAAAAAGAAAAACTGACCTTCCCAACAGCATCTTTTTAACACCCTAATGATAGCTAAAGCCCAACCCTTCGGCTGATGGCAACACAATCTGTCCCTCCATTTCTCGTGTCCTGACGCTCCATCATCATCTTCAGTGTGAACCGTTTGCTGACCCAGAAGCCGCTCGCGTATGCAGCCTGAATAACTTCCCTCTTTCTGTACAGTTTGAGTTTCTGTGTTGTCTTTGTTGGTTTTCTAACTAAAGGTGGCTAAACTGAAGCAGACCTGGGAGCAGCTGAAGGTGAAGGCCGGTGCAGGTCCAGATGACCTGACCGTTAATGCCGCTAGTTGACTGGTGAAGACCTGGCTGCTTCAGTGTTAGAGAGAGGATTTCTGTCCCGTCTCACTGTCTGCGTCACGTCCTCTGACCTTTTTCTGTCCTCCCAAACATACCCCTGAGTTTGAGCATTAATGACAGATTAAACTCATTTTACATCAGTGTTAGAAACATTCAGTCACATTGTGTTTCTGTTTACCTCCTGTCTGAGCTGTAAGAACGTGTCCTGTCATGAATGTTATGTTCGTCACCATTAAGACTTTAGGCTGGCTTTAACTTAATGCTAAAAAAATGTATTTTTCAAGTCTAATACACATTTAAGAGGAATAGTTTGTTTCATGTAGCAGTTTTTCATAAAGTAACTGAATCTGGATCAGTGATGTTGCAGCAGGATGTCTGATTTAGACCTGTGTAACGCTTTGTTGTCTTTTCATGCACTGCTATTGTTTTTTTATTTAATACACAGCACACAAAATGTCAATTTGTTTCACAAAATATCCTCGCTCAGTAAGTGCCTTTCCTCCTGATTACCAAAAAGCAATGACCTGCGTGTCTTTCCAATGAATAATAAAGAAAAGAAACTATTTCAAAAAGGTGCTCTTTAACTAACTGTAGTGACTCATTCTTCAGAATGTGTAAGTTTTGTGTAAAAAAAAAAAAAAGGTAAAGGTCAATAGTAGATCTGCTCCATCCATCTTTCAGGTGTGTGTGATCTTCAGCGTTCATCTTTTAAACTGTCCAAGCGCTCGAGTTCTTCGAATTTTGTCTAAATGGATCCATGGGATGAATGTAAACAACCTCCTCATTATTCTTTGTGTAATAAAACATGATCAGCCACTCACCTGAGAATAAAATTTAAAAATAAATAAAAACTACAAACCTACCCCCTGCAGCTTGAATGTGTGCTTCTTTATTTAATACAACAGCAAATGATGCTTCATTACAACGAAGAGCAGAATAAAAATCACAGAGACAGGAAGTGAAACTGCTGGGCCGGTCACAACAAGCCAGAGTTCGACAGATTTTCTTTCATGGAGACACAGCGCGTGACTCATTAGCTCATCGTTATTCATGCCAAGCCTTCCCAACTGGAGCAGATGGAGCACTCGACAATGCTGGCCCAGGAATAATCAGTGTACGCATTTCCATGGCATAAAGACTGACTGTAAAATATGAACGCACTTCCCCAAGAGAATTCATCTTTTCCAAACAAAGCATTTTTTCCATTCTGCTTAAATTCACAAGTTATGTCTTACCATATTTTATCCTGCTGGTTCTTCTACTGGCTGAAACTGCACAGGAATGGATCATTAACAAAAACAAAGGCAGAGCGATATACCTAGAAAAGAATAAAGAGGTTTTAATTTGCTTTTTCTTTCTCAAAATACAACATGTTTAGCAGTTTACTGAAATGATACAGCTCGTGAAACAAAAGGATACGCTCACCTCCATTGTGTAATACACTGCCTTTATTTAGGATTTACCTAAAGAGATAGGTAAGAGCCTCCCATTGAATAGTTACTGCACGGATTATGTCTCAGCTGGCAACAAGTTATTTAACCCTAACTGATGCAGAGTAGCTTCTCATTTGTTAAACCATGTTGAGAGACTCTTCCCGTGGTCGTGGAAAAGATGGTAATCTGTTTCAGAAGTGTTAAATTGTTGTCATGCATCACGTAGAGAAAACACCCAAGGAAATTGCTGAAACTTCTAAAACCGGGTTCAGAATAGTTCAACACATAAACTGGGAAGACAGTGGGGAATGCACATCAGGGTAAGACGAGAGGCGGCGAAAGTGATGCATCCATCATGCCTAGTGCCTAAAGTATAGACCTGTGGGAGCAGTCTATGATCTGGGGTTGCTGCACACATCTGGTTCTGCAACAGTATGTGCTCAAAGAATGAGGTCAGCCGACTACCTGAATATACTGAATGACCAGGTTATTCCATCAATGGATTTTTTTCTTCCCTGATGGCACAGGCATATTCCAAGATGACAATGCCATGATTCGATGGGCTTGAATTGTGAGTGAGTGGTTCTGGGAGCATGAGACATCATTTTAACACATGGATTGGTCACCACAGAGTCCAGATCTTAATCCCATTGAGAATCTTTGGATGGGCTTGTGAGAAGACTTTGCACAGTGGTCTGAATCTCCCATCATCAGTGCAAGATCTTGGGGAAAAATTAAAGCAACTCTGTACAGGAAGAAATGTGACGTTGCAGAAGCATGTAGAAACGATGCCACAGTGAATGTGTTGCAATCAAAGCTTAAGGTGGTCCGACAAAATATTAGTGAGTGGCCTTGTTTTTTTGGCCAGGTCGTGTATAATTTTGGAACGTATCGTATTCAAGGTACAGGTAGAAAATGAATCCACTGTAAAATTGGAGGAAATGTAATCAGCAATCTTGGCTATGATGATATAGACCCTATAAATGGTATTTCCAATGATGACGGCAGTGGAGTAGAGATCCAAGACTCTGTGAGTGGTCAATATGTAGATTAGGCTTGAATGAACCAAGACTATGGTTTCTGGTAAACAGGAACCCGTCATATCGAACATCAGTGAGGCAGAACAGAACAACAAGTTAGAGAATTCCCTTACCCCGAGTCTTTGTTCATATCAGAGGGCCACTCAGAGATGTCAAGGACTGCCAAAGCTGCCAGGGCCTGAGCAGAACTCAAAAGTTGTTTGGATGGACAGATCAGTGTTGTGGCTACTTTCATAGATTTTCTGAGACTCAAGAATTAAACAAGTCAGTTTGTCTTTTATGGTGTTTTCTACGAAAGAGAAATAAGAAAACAAAGAAACTGAAATAATGCAGTTGCAGGTCGCCTGTTCCTCAGATTGCAGGAATCTGTGGATATTGCAGCCATGAGACATATAAAAACAAGGATTTGAAACAGTAGAGGGCTGAGTAATTTTGGGACCCAAGGCAAACCTTTCTAAAAGGGGCCCTCCCCCAAGTCTTCCTTAACATACCAGTAGAACCTGAGGATGTGAAAGGTTCTGTAGGGCTGACACAATTTTCAAACTGCAATACTGTGAACCAGACCCAAGCACAACATACGTTTTTCCTTCTTTTATAAGATACATTAATGTATTTTTTGGAAAAACCTTAATAAACAAACGTGATAAAGCAAATCTTATATCAACAGTGAACACAATGATGGTAGAGGTGGGCAATGTAAAAAAAATAATATTTTCCTAACTTGTCAGATTTTCATAACTTTATATCAGAATTATTTTAGTATCATATTGCATACTCCTCTGACAGAGCACAGTTGTAAGAGGAAAAGTCCGTGTGTTTGAGAGGTGGTACTTGTAAGCAAATGCAAATATTGGGCCATTGCAGGTGTGGACAGGGAACTGGACTTGATGAAGGATGTTGACATGACAAGACATCCAGGCAAGAGAGACACGTATGAACTGTAAGACAAGAATAAAAAGTTGTTTTGGCTGTAAAACTTGTCATTTATCCCTTGCCTTGCCCTTTGCCCTGTTGTAACTGATTTATTAACACTGACTGAATTCATCCATCCATCATCCAACCAGCCATCCATCATTCCATCCATCCATGCAACCAACTAACCAACCATCCATCCACCATCTATCCATCATTCTATTCATACATCATCCAACCAACCATCCATCATTGCATCCATCCATCGATCCAACCATTCATCCATCCATCAATGCATCCATCCATCCATCCAACCAACCAACCATCCATCCATCCATCCATCCATCTTCACCTGCTTTTTCCTTTTCCGGTTGTGGGAGTCACTGGTGTCTATATTTGTTACACTTCCTTTCAAAACAAAAAAAGCACAAAACAAGAGGACAGGCTGAATTGATTAAAAAAAAAGTAATTTAATTTTATTTATTGTGACTGATAGAAAATACAAATGCAACAAAAGAGCCTCCATACCATCTTGGCTTTAACACAAATGAAATAATATTCAAAAATTGCAAATATCCAAACAATCTGTGTACCAAGACTCTTCAGAAAATATATGCACTCTAGCTATACTATTTACAAAATTAATTAGTGAAGCAGCCGTTGATGCCAGTCCAAATGTGCAACAACAGCATCTTTATTCAAGAACTCAAACGCATCATGGAAGGTTCCTGCTGCTCTGCTCCAGGATGTTCAGAGGCGTTCTGTCAAACTTTAACAAACTGAAAATGACATTTAATTTCCAGAATTGATATGTACAATATAAACATGTCATAAAAGTGACAGATATGTTGTAATTTGTGTAGTCTTTGCAGTTAAATAGTTGTTTCTGAGATCCTGACAATGTTGCTGTTGGATCGGCAATGAAGAGAGGAGTCCAGGTTATGACAGAACAGTTTTACCAGCAGAGGGACCAGTTATCTCCTGGGGGAAGATCTCTTTGGGACATCAAGGTTTATGGGGCCAAACCTCTCTGGACAAGTAGGCGACAATCTGACTGTGGCAGCAGAACCAAAAGTCTTCACTCCAGAGACCCGGACTTCACAGTTGATCCAGATGAAACCACAGTGAGCCACTCCACGATGTCCTGCATTTAGCTGTAGAGCTCTCAGAGCTGAGAGCTTGTTGACTCCTGCGGTCAGGGGAAGACGTGCCAGTCCCCGGTGGATTCAGAAACCACCTCCAGGTTGAGCTCAGGTGTGTCTTCTACCTGAGGAGCCGGCTCCTCCTGGCCAAGGGCCACATCTTGGATCTGACCTGGAGGTGACAGAGAGAGTAAATTACTGCTTCAGTGAAATACTCGGCTGGTTATACGAGAGCCGTGTCAGTAAAGAGGACGACGAAACGGCAGCGGCTCTCATGGTGAAAACGATCCACCCGAGGCCGTCGTGCAAATGAAACCATCCGTCAAAAAGCAATCTCCCTCTTCTCTCTACAACATTTGTTTTAATATTACACAATCCCCCTTTATTCCTGTTCTTTCTCTAAAAACAAAGTGTATTGAGCGAGCTGTAAACACACATTGTGAGATGGTAATGTGACTAGCTGTTCAACTTAAAACGAGCAACAAACAGTTTTGACTCTGGCTGGAAGGTTCATGCACTGTTCCTGTGACGCTGCAGGCCACACGCCGAATTAAACCTCGCAGTGGGAGTTACCTCATTATCTGAAAGTCCTCAGATCTGTTGGGTTTTATGAAGCATGAGACCGTAATATAACAAGAAAAGTTAGACAAACACAAGCAAACTGCCAAACGACAGAAATTAAAATCACCATTACGTCATCTGAACTGAGCTCATACAGAATATGGTGCAAACGTATGGTTGCTGAAATACTGAGTAGGATTTACAAATACAAGTTACAGAAAATGGACCAGGGTCCTGAGTCGTCCCTCTTTTTTTTGGAATTGTTTTCAAGGAGGCAGAACTTCACGTTTTATCGCTGCCCACCAATATGGTTTTTCCACGTCTCTGTGTGTATATGCGTGTGTGTGTTTATACAGTTGGTAAAATACAGCGCCAATAGAAAATAAACTAATTCAACTCAGAGAAAAGATTACTGACATTCAATGGCCTGGCATTCTGCGTTTATCTGTTCCTCTCAAACCAAACCAGCCGGTTGAAGCAGATGGCCACTTGTCCTGAGCCTGGTTCTGCTGGAGGTTTCTTCCTGTTTAAAGGGAGTTTTTCCTTTCCACTGTTACCTTTGGGCTTGCTCAGGATGGGAGACTGTGACAAAGTGAAGATTTAACACAATCTGCTGACTTATTTAGATAAACTTTTACTAACTGACTTTTATATGGATATTTCTGTTCAGTGCCCTGAGATGACTTTTGTTGTGACGGTGCTACAGTATATAAATACATTGAATTGAATTGAACTGAAATTGAATTGAATTATTGAAAAGTAAACGTCAGGGGGTGGATACAAAGGGATTTCCAAGGCTCCAAACATCCCCGGGAGTTCAGTTAAATCCATCATATAGAAATCGAAGGAATGTAGAACATCTGTAGATCTTTCAAGAGCAGGTCGTCCTCAAACTGAGGGACAGTGTAAGACAGAAAATAGTGAGAGAGACCACCAAGACACCTGCGGGCACTCTGAAGGAGTTACAAGCTTCACCAGGTGAGATGGAGAGACAGACCATACAGGAACTGTTGCCTCAGTTCTTCACCAGTCTGAGGTTTAGGGACGAGTCACAAAGACAATGTTGAAGAAAACTCAGATTGAGTCACCACTAGAGTTTGATAAACAGCATGTGGAAGACTTTGGTCCAGAGCGTCTCAGCAGCCGGCCCTAGTTTACATTTACTGAGCTTTCTTCTTCAAAACTGGCTTTCATTTACACATACTGTACTTTTAATAATTTGTTCCAAGAGATCTTATATTGCATGAGAACATGCATTACGATGTTTACGTGGTCTGATCAAATAGGCTTGAACACAACTGTTTCTCATCAAAAGATGATTTTAAGTACAAACTCTAGCATTAAAGGCGATATCCATTCGTTCAAGAAATGATAGGCCTTTCATTTGTAAGGTTATCAGCTGCTCTACAGTTTCTAAATGCTTGTCAGCTGCTTTTACTTTTTTTTTATTGCATTTTAGTTCTTAGACGGTAACTGGCCAGGTTCAGGAAAATGTGTGTTTTTTGTTGTTCCCATTTCCTTAGTTACAGTTACAAAGAATACCAACGATAACACAGTTTGACAGGAGATAACAAGTATTCTGGCACCAACAAAATGATTCCCAAAGAGATGTTATTAAAAACGCTTGGCCTATCTTTGCAAGGTGTGCACAGTGTCCTTACAAAAGTAAAGGAAACAATAAAAATAGACAGGTGGAGGACAAACAAAGAAGTATCCCAAGAAAACCAACAGAACCATCTGGACCAGATTAACAGTAGCTGAAAAAGAAAAAAATAGAAGACAATCCAGTGAAGCTCTGACAAATGACTTGAGGAATAAATCAACAAACTAATCTGAGCCAAGTTCTTTGTCCTTGCTGTGTCCCGCTGTAAGAATCTAATCTGTAAATCACAGGTCCAATAATTCATTTCGTAAAATGAAACATGTTTATAGATGTTTAGCTTCAGTTTGTTGTTGAATCTTGCCTACATGCACCGTTTTAGAAGGATTCTGATTTTTTGTAAAGATCTGACATGCATGTTTTTATTTTAGCTTAGTGTTCCCTTGTACAATGCTTCATTTTCCAATTGACTGAACTGTATATTTGACAAGTTAAGGTCTTCTCTGTCTGTTACAATCTTTAACCTTTTATCTAATTTTATACATTTTGAAATTTAAGTGTCTCATAAACTGATTAAAAAATAGTTTTTCTTTTAACAGATTTTTGTTTTAAGTACGTTAGTGTCTAACATAATGTTTGCAAAAACTATCCACATCATTGCATTCAGTTTTTATTCACAATTTGTTTAGTGTCCCAACTTTTTTGGAATCCGGTTTGTACACCTGAATCATATAAACTATACCTGGACCATATAAACTACAGCTGAATCATATAAACTATACCTGGACCATAGAAACTACACCTGAATCATAAAAACTATACCTGGACCATAGAAACTACAGCTGAATCATAAAAACTATACCTGGACCATAGAAACTACACCTGAATCATATAAACTATACCTGGACCATAGAAACTACACCTGAATCATATAAACTATACCTGGACCATAGAAACTAC